GCTTATTACAAGCAACTGGATTTGAGGTCTAAAATGTTCCCATATTACTGGTTTTGTTGTGTGCAAATTGAATTGCAGCCACGGGAGGCAATGCACAGGCATCGGTAACGCCTGGAAAGTGAGCATATGTCGTCAAAATGCGTATATGTTGACTTGGGTTTTTTTCCCCCACAATCTTAGCACTGTCTAGCTGGTAGATACTATCTTATTAACTGGAACACTTGCATTACTCGTGACCAATCTAGCCTTTCTAACTTGAGCCCGTATGATCTCACCATAGTGGTTGCCGTATGCTTTTAGTGGATATGGAGTTCACAGTCATGCCACCCTCTCCACAAGTCTCTCACGCCAACTCGCAGCAAGCCATCGCTGAGGAGGTTAACACTGATGGAGCCAAACACCCTCAATACCAAGACAACCAATGGTTGAATCGGCATTCTCCGGCCCAGGAGGATTATATTACCATGGCGAATAAAGTCGTTCGGGTCAATGCGAACCCCGTATTCTCCGACAAACAATCAATAGTCTCCGGTGCGTATCTGGTTATTTTACTCTTTTTTAATGTTTACCAGAGTCCTTTGCTTATATGGCTTATCAAACGACGCTAATTTTATTAACTTTTAGTTTCTTTAGAAAGTGCTCGCTAACTAGGAGTACATTAGTCTATTTGCATGTTAATAGGCGTAAACTAAGAGCTTATAGAAATATTCGGCCGACTTCTATTGGTTATATTTGAGATCACTGCTTAAGATTCATAAAGCTACCAGCTGATACAGCTGCAATGGATTCGGTTTACCAATATGCCCTCCACTGTTCTTATTGTCCTAAGGAGCGGCACCTTGGTTCCTATCTCTTTTCTAGGTGAGGATAGCATACACGAGGGCGTGGTGTACAACGCAAATCAACCACTTTACGCCCGAGGGAAGGCCCATGAGATTCCCAGCGGAGGACATGTATACACCTACAGAGTACGTTACTAATAAATTTCGTTTATAACACACCAGCACCGGTCTCTGTTCGTTAAATTTTATTTTCTGCTGTCTCCATTCACAATAGAATAGTTCATTGCTAATGCAGGCAAAAATGTGAGTCTCTCTTATGAAGGTTCACCTGACCACTAACGAAACTCATCTGTCCCGCTCTTCCTTGGGCCTCGACAGAGGCCTTGACAGCCATAACAGCTAGAAGTGGGCAGACAGTATGGCTGACAAAGGCAAAGGAGACGGTAATGGCCATTTCTGGCTCATTAGCCATTGTCAGCCATCAGGAAGTAATCGGAGAGAAACAGATTTGATCGCTGGGACGAGAATTTTATTCACCTGACGCTTCGAAATCTTTCGTGCATCCATCGTCAAAGACAATAGCAGAAACGGGTAATTCATACACAGGGAGTTGAAGTATTTATAGGATATGGTCGCTATGCTGCTGCATACTTAAAACAATAAACTTCTTCCCCTATCGCGGATATAGGCAACACATTTGAACTTGGTGTGGCCGAGATTCTCGTGAGAGGTAACAGTCGTGGGAGTCGTGAGTTACTTGTGTCATAAACAAGTGCAGTCTATAAACAAGCGCAGCGACCTGCCCAATCCATATTCGGTGCTGAAAGTCAGTTTGGCCAAAGCAATTCGCCCCTCGGATGCGCACAGCGCGTCGCATAATGCCAACACCAGGGAGCCAGATGGCTGAGCAATAATTATGCCCAAATCCACCACGGGTAATGAAAGTTCAGCAGGTCACGACCCACACGCCGACCATCAAGTAACTAGCACACAAGCGGGCAATTATCCGCGATAGGGGAGACATTGATTGTCTTAAGTATGCAGTAGCACAGCGACTGTGTCCAATAACTACTGAAACTTCCCGTGTATGATATACCCGTTTCTACCAATATCTCTCATGATGGATCCACGACGGATTTCGAAACGTCAGAGGAACACAATTCTTATCCCAGGGATCACATGGGCTTCTTCTCGAATAGTTACTTCTAGACAAACGCATGTTTTCGCTTATTCCTCATGTTACATACAATAAGTAATAGAAAGGCTTTGCGACGAATAAGTAGGTGTGCCTATACAACCCAATTTAATTCGATTTGCTTTGTGTATTACTTATATTGGTTAGTACAGATTTATGTAAAATATTTACTACTCCGTCATAGCAAATAACTGAGAGAGGAGACTCCCTTGAAGCATAAAACACCCGATTTAACCATCACAACTTTTAGAGTTGGATCCGTTCATTGACACGTCCGTTTTACATCCCACAACATATCGTACTATAGCCTTCTTTAACCTAAATTCCACAAACAGTAGTACTTGGTCTCACTTCCTTTTCTTTAAACCTTTGCTTGGCCGACCTTAACATTCGAAGAATGACAGTGGAGTACCAAAGAACCCCAATATTGATGGATTTCACCCCAGCAGTGGTTTCAATGACCTTGGGTGGGAATTTGAACCCGACAATGTACCAATTTATCGGCGTCCGGTCGCCTCTGGGTAAGCATTCCTCTCGGTATTCATTGTTTTCCTTCATCATACATAGAGCGTTTCATTTAACTTTGTTCTGCCAAATCATCCTCTCAAACCCTTCAGGCTGCTTACCTCCACATAATTCTAACGTATTCCCATCTTGCATGCGTATAACGTTCTTTTTCATTCTTAATCCTACTTGCATGTCACACAATTATACTCGAGCAGTTTGCTTTATTAAGCCTTTGAAGCTTAAACGTCACCCTGTTGGTGGGAGTCCACAAAAAAGGAAATTATAAAGTTGCCCGGAGTGTTTACACAACTATACTTAAATAACTACTATATGTATTTTAGTAGGCGTAGTTATGCTTACTACTGCATCGCCCAACACGGAACTCTCTAAATTCATGCGGTTACTTTTAGCTTTATTAGTTTCAGTTTAGTTTATTGCCTAGTTTAATAGTTTACTTTTCGTTATAGTTTTAGTTTGTTTACTTTTTAATTCAATATATTTTTAAAGCGACATGCGGTTGCTGCTCGACTTATCGTACTACGATATCTGTTCAAATGCATTAGAAGCTATTGTGAGTTTCAAAAAATGGGGAAAAGCTTATCGTGCATAGTTTTGTTTTGATCTCTA